GTCACTACCACCACCACTACCATCTCCACTTCGGGCGGCGAGAGCAGCACGCCTTTCGACGTGTTGTACGACGCCATTGCGAGGAAGCTGCCGCACGCGGAGGTGAGCGGGAGGGTGGTCATGGCGGGGGAGTTTCCCGTGATCGGTCACGAGATGGTGATCGAGGGGAAGGGGAACGCGACGCTCGACGCGGCGGAATGGGAGTTCCGCCCGTTCGTGGTGCGCGGCAGGGGGGCCAAGCTGACGCTGAAGAACCTGCAGCTGTACAAGGGACAGGCGCCGCTGAAGAGCTCCAGGGCGGCCAAGCGGTTCCCGCCGCTGGCCGACGGAGGATCGGTGCTGGTCTACGACGGGGCGTCGCTGGAGATGCACAACGTCTTCGTCAACCATAGCAAGTCGTGGAGGGGAGCCGCCATAGCCGCGTACGGGGCGAGCAAGGTGACCGTCGTGGGCTGCCGCTTCCTGAACAACTACGCTTGGTATGCCGGGGGGGGCATCTACCTGGCCGAGGGGTCCAACGCCTCCGTCTTCAACTGCAGCTTCGAGAGGAACAAAGGATCCGAGGAGGGAGGCGCCATAGCCGTCACGGGAGGATCGTACCTGCGGTCGGAGAGGACGACGTACAGAAGGAACACCGGGAAGAGGGAGGGAGGGGCCGGCATCATGGTGGAGCACCCCGGAAGTGTGGTCATCTCCATCGACGACCTGTTCTTCGAGAACAAGGGCGTGCTTCCCTCGGCAGTTGGGGGGGCCATTCTGGTCAGAGACAACGGCACGCTCTTCGTGTCAGGAAGCAGATTCGTCCGGAACAGGGCGCGGGGAGGAAAGGGCAACACCATCTTCGTCGAAGAAGGCGGCATCATCGGACGGCTGACGAACGGCCCGACAGAGAAGGACGTCGAATGGCCATCGAACCAGCCGAAGCCAGACATGCCAATGGGGATGACCACAGAGACGGAGAACAATGCGATGGCGACGGAGGCGATGGCGACGGAGATGGAAACGATGGAGAAGAAGGCGATGGCCATGGAGTCGACGACGACCATCGGGTCGCAGTCGTTGCCGCCTCCGCCGCTTCTTACTGGAAGAAAGTTACGTTGGTCCCTGGACATGAAGGCGAAAGAGTCGGCGAACGAACCGGCAAAGGAGCTGACGGTGGACAAGGGGGCAAAGTTAATGATGACCCCTGATAGCCAACCCTTGCCCCCTCTTCCGGGCCTTCCGTGAAGGAATCCCAGATCGCAAGGGAGGCGATGGCGAAGGTGGCCACGGCGATGCGAAGGATAGCCAGAAAGGCGATGGCCATGGGAAGAAGGGAGCGAGGAAGGGAGGGAGGGAGGGAGGGAAGGAGTCATCAAGACAGAGGATGAAATTGAAAAGCAGAGGGACAACCAAAGAGCAGGATGAGTGGGACAACAATGATCATCGCTCATCTCCCTTTCGTGGCGTAACGGGTGTTAAAAATTTGCTGATGGCAACGACCTTGCTGGGGAGGGAAGGAGGACAGGACTCGAGGATCTGCGGCGCGCGAGGAGAGCAAAATGGGAGAAATCCAGAGAAGGGTGTGTTGTATTCGAGGGATCAATGAAGTAGATTGAAAACTGAAATCGTGACTGCGCCCTCGTTACCCCCCAAGAAGAAATTTGATTGAGAATTTGAGATTTGAGAGAGCACTCAAGAGTCTGAGATCGGCACTACGGGAAGTTGGGAGCCCCGGTGGCTCGTTGTTATTATCTTCTTGTCGAAGAATGAGACCAAGGGGAATGGCTCACGTTTAAACAGCTCGAACGCATCTCCATGGTGCCAAGGGTAATATATAGGGTTGCTTGTTCTGTGGACGGGTACTTGGGATGAGCCTGCTACTGATTTGGCGTATTCCCGGTAGCTCCACGCAAGCTAATTATGAATGAATATAAGGCAGTTTTCCGACCCCGTGCTGTTATAATGGGGGTATGTTCTATTCGGGGGAAGATGGCAGAGGAGATGGTTGCTTATTATGGTCGTGCGCGCGTCCGCGGTCGTTATAGGATGAGAGTATGGGCCATGGCCCTTGCCCCAGCGCACACTGAACGTGAAAAGGAGGAAGATTATAAGAATTCTGGCAAAATAAATTCGTTTTTAATCTTCTTAAGGGCAAATTGCAGAGATACCGTTTCAGCGGGGTATCGTTGCAACTTTGCAGGTATATATTTGTGGTTGGCTATATGGACTGGCTTACTTGCTACGCTACTTCTCCAAACCCGTATTTGTTCAATTTTCCCTTTAAAACAAAATTCAAAAGAATATATGACGAATGTATGTTGCCAGGATGTAGATGCGGATACTTCGTTCATTTCGCACATACGCTAACGACTGCCGCGAGGCTCTCTGACGCATAAGTTGGTACTGATTGGTGCAAAAAAAACAAATTTCAAATATAACGGAATGTAGCCAGAAGATTTAAATCGATCTAGCGGCCCTCGAATTGGTAGTACCGTCTTCACCTGAATAACAATGAGGAGCTTGTCCAAAAAAAAAAAAAAAAAGGACGCATTAGGCTCGATGCACGCGCAATTCAGTTAGTAGAGCTGGATTAATTATTAATGTTAGGGGTAACTTCAGTACAGTCACAAAAAAATCGTTTCAAAAAAAAAAAAAAAAAAAAAAAAAAAAGTTTCAAAAATACACTTCCTGCAGTTCCCCAAACACAACATAGTATGGATTTCCAATTTTCCACAACTCGGTACGGATGACTTGCAAGAGGTAGACATTCCGTGCGTGATAGTTCGATGTAAATTCGTACAGAATGGTTGTAGGGCTGTACGACGTGTTAGTCCGTACGCACCGCGTGCAGGTTTGGCCCAACGCTTGAATTTCCGTACGGAATAGTTGAAGGTGTGTATGTACGGAATGGCTGTCCGGATCGGTTGCCAGTCTGCGTCGGACGCATTGCAGGTTTGTACGAATAATAACCGGATAATCCGTACGGATCGGTTTCGTTCCTGCGCAATGCTTGTTGGTCTGTACGGAATGCTTGCAGGATTTATTGTACGAATTCGTAAAGGCTGTGTACGGAGATGCTTGTACGGCAGTAGGGAACGATTGTTAGCCCAAGTTGATTGACCACATTGAGCCCGCCTGCTCTCGTATAACTGAGTGACACTCTACATTGAAAGATTTTATAAAGCACCCCAATACAACACCTGCTCTTTCATCCTGCATCTAGACAGTCGGGGGTTGGGGGGGGGCCGGGGGGGGGCCGACTTTTCCAAATCAAATTTATAATGACCGGGTGTTCTATTCGAGTGAAGATTGTAGCTGGCATGCTGACCATCACAGTACAAATGCAGTCCCTGCATTATTTTGAAACAGTTTTCACCTTTGGCAGTAGCCGATGCAGATCCCAGGGGTCGATCCCTTGACCTCAGCTTACCTGTGTACAGTATCTGCACAGTTCCCTGGAGTTGAACCCGTGACCTGCACGATTGCCAGTGGTAAGTAGGTCGCCGTAGGTTGTAGGCTGTAGGGAGATTCGAACTGTAGACCTGTAAGGTAGGAGTCCAAGTAGAGTCCAGAGGCCTAGCTTAGCTTTAGTCCTTCTAGAAGGTCGGCAAGTGGTCAAGTGGTGAGTCTAAGGTAGGCCCACGTTTTCAGACGAAGACAAGTGGCAAGGTCAACAGGTAGGACCTCAGTGCAACTGTACTGAGTCGACGGTACGACTGCCTACAGTCAGCAGAAGGGTCTAGAGAGTCCCAGTCCAGTCCAGCAAGTACCACAGGGGGACTGTGAGCACCAAGGGCCGATGGCAAAGGGCAGACCAACGAATTTCTGAAGTATAAATCAAGAGGCAGCGCCCAGCCATTCATTCATTCCKGCGTGAGCCATGCGGAAGCGCTGCCACAGCGACTTGTGCAAGGAGRTCTGCAGATGAGCCCGGAGGACGCAGTGGGCTAGAGAGAGGGAGTTAGCATAGCGATAGGGTAGATGCAGCTACAGCTGCCATAGCTGTAGTTAGTAGTGAGTGTGTGTGTGTGTTTGAGTGTTAGAGTGATGCGCGTGGGATATCCAGGGTGATCCAGTGTATGTGAACAGTGAGATGTTTGGGCGCTGAAGTCGCCATAGCCAATTGAGAGTGAACTCGTATCTGAAAGCCATACATCTGAGTTTTGAGTGGGCGCATTTCGCCAGTATGCTGCGTTGCTGTTTACATGCATGAAAAGTGTGTTTGAGAACGAGTCTGATTGCAATTTGCCTCATCCTTTCGAATGAACCTACCCACTTTTTCGCAACTAGTGCAGGGACTGCATTTCTAGTGAAGATCGACTACAATTCAAATCAGATAGTGTACCCCTATCAGCGGATGTGAGGATTTTTTTCGCGATAGAAGGGGTGAATAAAGAAAGAGAAGCTACAGTAACTGCCTTTTTTTGCCCTTCGCTTTTCCCTTGCCGTCGGTCTTCTTTTGTCTTTTTTCTTTTTTTTTTGCAAAAGAGTACGTGTTTTTTCCCTGAGCACAAGAGAGCAGGGAAATAGTACAGAAAATGTACTGCCTTGGGTTGACCTTCGCTTCTCCAACTTGCCGTACATCTTTTGACTCTTTTCTCTCCTCCAATCTCCAATGGGTATCCCGACACAGCACTGCGCTCACCTGGGCGGCACCGTGGACTAGGTACGAGGAATCCGTGCGAGTGGAGCCCGTGGGGGAAGCGGTAATAACCCTACAAACACCCGACGAGCCGACGTGGAGGGTCGGATTTTTGCAGCGTTAGTTTAAGCTGGGGCTCGGTAGACCCAAAGCTTCACCTACATTCAGCTGATCACATCAGGGTTTGAACTCACGACGTGGTCATCCGAGTAGTACATGAAGGCCAAGTGTCTTCAGAAATATACTTTCAGTTGGCGTCAATTTAGTTCGCTGTCTTTTTCTGTTTTTTTTTTGGAATGCTATCAAGTTAAGTTATCGATGTGGGAAAAGAAAACAATAAAGTAACCTATCGATCTCAACATGTCATCCTCGCCGCACAAACCAGTGACACCAGGCTACCTTCGTCACCCGAATAGGACGCCCGGTCAATGTCGTTGTATATTGCCTGAAAGCTGCACCAAATGCAGGTATAATGACCGGGCGTGTATATTGTCCGAGAGCTGCACCAAACGCAGGTATCATGACCGGGCGTGATATTGTCTGAAAGTTGCACCTAATGCAGGCATAATGACCGGGCGTTCTTTTCGAGGGACGACGGTAGTCTTCTCTGTAGCGTTTAATATCTAACGGAAGTCCTTAAGGTCTCTTGTTTGTTCCCTTTGTTTGTGTATGTTTTTTTTTTTGTGTGTGTGTGTGTAACTGTGTGACACTGTGTGTGTGTGCGTGTGTGTGTGTGTGTGTGTGTGTGTGTGTGTGTGTGGGTGTATGTGTGTGTGTATATGTGTGTGTGTGCGGGTGGGTGGGTGGGTGTGTCTGTTTCAACCAGACCCAGTGGGCCAGTGCCAGAGGCTATTACATCAATCAAGCAGATCAATTCTTCCGAAAAACAGCGGCGGTGGGCCGCCAGCCCCCAATCCTCAGGCTGACCCGCGCCCTTACAACAAATTTAACAAGAAATCGTAAGAAAAAATCAAAATACGAGCAGGATTTTATTAAGCAACTCTTACCTAATTTAGCCCCTCGACTTCCACAAGTTCACTCTGCCACTCGCACCACAGGGATGATGGGATCCACTCTGCCACAAGCCCCAAGATAGGGCACAGATCTCCCAAAACCCATCCTCCTCCTCTTAGACTAGCGATTCGGAATAGACAACGCCTCTAATCCACAACAACTCGTTCTCAAAAAAAGACACCCACCCATGGCGTCCATCTACATGGCACCTTCACAGTGCAATTGCTCGCAGTGACCCTCTCCCAATTACTCCCACCACCATTAACATATATCAATACAAGGAGAAGAACCCAGTGAGAGTGGCAGTGAGTCAGTGACCTTCTCCCACCTAATATCAACCCCACGGCAGGGGTTAAGAAAAAAAACCGCAAAACCCATAAACTCCTCACTATTTAGGGTAGATCACACCACCGATCTGCACCTACTCCCTTCGACAGCTTCACCGCTCTCCAGGGCCTCCATGATGAAGGTGTGTGCATTTTCTTGGTTTTATTCCCTCAGTTGTG